GTTGTACAGAATATCAACAGCTGCTAGGGCAGGGTTCTCAACCTTGGCAACTTTAAGACTTGTGGACTTCAACTCAAAGCTGGCTGAGGAATTCTGGGAGTTGAAGTCCACAAGTCTTAAAGTTGTCAAGGTTGAGAACCCCTGTTTAGGGCATGTGTACACCAGAAATGCAATGTTTTGTAATTTTCTTCAAGGAATCTAATTTTCTAGGACATGGGCTGAGACAGAACTAAATGTACTTTTTTTCTGTGTATTGTTATTACTGTCAAGAAATTCCAGCCATTTTAGATAGCTTTTCCCCCTCAATGCACCTAAAAAAAGGACTTATATTTACTTGTATTAAATAAATACTAATGCACTTTATTCATATTAAATAACTACAAATGGACTTGCTCCAGAAAGCAAAGTAGATAATCCCTTGCTCCCTGCCAGAAATGTAAATCCCATTCTTTAAATTGATTTAATCACCCCATTTTATGTCATTTCAAATAATTCAGACAAAATGTACCTACCTTCCAAAATATCTAAACTCTAAAAATCAAACAAATGAGTGTAGCTTTCATTAAAGTAATTCAGGGAATGGCAGCCAAACATCTGCTTAATTATTTTAAATCATTTAGTAGTAGGTTACTGCCTTTAGCCATATGGAGCTCTTCTTTTTGGCCATTCTGTTCCTCTTAAATCCTTCCTTTGACATTTATTTATCCTATGTACACACTTTTTCCCAGATGCTTAAAATGTTCTCAGTTTATTTTCTTTTTCATGCAGTATACCTGTCTTCCTAAATTGTTTTAATCCCTACCATTTTATCTCCTTACCCTCCCCACCTTCTGCTTTCTTTAATATTGAATTTCATTCAAAAACATACAGAATTCCTTCAAAGCAAGCAGCATGACCAATATCATTCACTGTTTTTTCTACTTGTCTGGTCTCTGTCTGATATTAGAGTACCATGTCCAAAAGCTTCACAATGATTACCACCCCTAAATTTCTTCATATGTTGTAGGTATGATTGCTGAGCATGCAGGACTGTCACATAGCATGGGTTTAACTAATGATCATTGGCATCTCACTGAACCTGGCTTGGCAATCGCTGCAAAAATTAGCTTTCTGATTTTATAATGTCATGCTTTAAGTCTTCTCCAAGACAGACAACTGTATCAAAACAGGGTAGAACTAAGAAATGGGTGAGTTTGTTTGGATCTTATCAGATGTCTCTTAACGGTTTCATTTATCTAAATTATTCTTAACTATATTCCCTGGCACTGCTTGAGTTTGCCTTTTAAGGGACTCTACACAACAACTGTGCGCAATTTAATGGAGTTGGATAAAAAATGGGATTAACTGAATCATGTCAATGGTAAACAGGGAGGAGGAGGAGGAGGAGGAGGAGGAGGAGGAGGAGGAGGAGACTAGAGAATGGAATTAATGGAATAACAAGCAAACCTGTTTTGATAATGTCACCCCAAAGTTAAGACCAGCAACCACCAGTCTTCTTAATTAGCATTATAGAACAATGAAAGAGTTAAGGCTTCCTCCCAAATGCACACCTAACACAATATAAATTGAAAAATTCCTTTTAAATGAAATAGTTGAAGGTTTTCAGATCAGGAAAAAAGAATTGTTGAGATTAAAGATCTCCCACATAATAGACCTGCACAGACCAAGGAATTGGATCAGGAAGAACTACATTGCAATCCAAATTCATTCATGATGAAATGCCTGGCCAAACCACACATTTTTTTCAAATCCAGTCTTCTTTGCAGAGTTGTGAGAATACCAGCAACTCTTAAAGCACAAGCAACATACAATAAAATGGAATGTGAATTAGAATAAAAATATTAACATTGCTGAAGTAATTACTTTAGATAGGATTGTTATTTGCTTATTTGGAATCTTGTTATTTGACGGTTTATTATGATTGAAACCATAGGTCATTATATAAAATTTACGCAGAGGAAACTACTGAACCAAGTGTATCAGAGGGAGCTCTTTATACTCATATACTTAAAAATTGTCCCATCACTTTAAGGCTTTGTAGCAAAAGTTCTGATTGATTTGGGCAACATGATCTCATTACACACAAACCTCATCATAGTTTAAGTGATGGGTGATAGTAACCTAGTGCTCTATTTTTTTTCTCAGCTCACAGATTAAGAACAATGAATATTTAGCCATTTATTTTTCTCACCGGTTGTATTTTCCAGTGGAAGATTCCTACAGAGGAGTTTATAAATCTAAGAAACTCAAACCAAATAACAAAATATCTGAATGCCAACCTTACTCTATATTATAAACAAATTTCTGGGATGGTTTTGATATTCTGAATCACAGCTGACTCTGTAGTAAATCCTTTTATTGTCATTATTATCTACAATCATGTCCTTGAGATGGGCAGCCATATAAATTCAATAAATAAATAAATATTTTTTTAAAAATGATTTCTATCACTGCAGAACTGTGGGGTATTCACAGAATGCTGTGGTGTGAACACACTATGTATCTCATGGGGAAGCAAGCTGCAATTATCAATTAAAAACTGGCTTGTCTGAAGTTTCTACTGCAGGGAAGGTCTTCTTATTCTGCGAAGCAACAATTAGGGGATTTATAATCAAAGCAGCCTTACCAAGTTCTGGCAGTGAAAGAAAGAACACAGCAAAGTCCTTCAGCTGATAATGCAATTAGAGGCTTGGTTAAAGATTGACAGGGTTACACCAGGCCATTGAAAAACCCTTGATTGCTGGAAAGCAGCTTGATTTGCTAGGAATGACAGAGATGGGGAAGGCTTTTTCTTTAAACCAAGGTTTTTATGAAGTAGGAACATAGCCTTCTTTCCAGCATTATAAATATAATAAAGATCAACACCAAAAGTAGGTAATATGATTCCTATAGATGTCACGGGTCTTCCACACTCCCCATTCTTTTAAAAGATTGATATGATTTAAAAAGGAGAAGAATCTTGTTCCTACAAAGTAAAGCATCCTCTTCTATTGTGGAAAGGTTTCACCAGTTTGAGCAACACATTGTAAACATTCTGGACAATATCTTCTAGAAACAAACATCTATAGTTATCTGCAAGAATGCCTCTCCCTGAGAGCAGGTTCATTGTCCCATCAAGATGGACAGGGTAGTCATTCTTCAGGTACCTTCCCTTCAACATTGTCATATTGTTCATCCTTGGAAGCAGCACCTGTCCTTTGGAACATCTGTCCCCTTGAGATCTGATAAGTCTTTTTTTTTAAAAAAAACTTTCTGAAGAATACTTAAGACCTGGGTCTTCCCCCAGCCACTAGGATAAAGTGAAGACAGAGTGGGAGAAGATTTTCATGGACTGCATCAGGCAGTGAGGTTATGACACCATGTTTTCTGTTTTTGGTTTTATTCTGGTGTTATTTATGGTTGCATGCCTTGCTTTATTGGTTTTCAATTGCCCAGAATTGGTTTTCAATTGCCCAGAATTGGTTTTTAAATTGCCCAGAATTGGTTTAAAATGGGTAGCTATGCAGATGTTTTAAATAAAAATAAATAAATAAATATAAAACATTTGAAAACAAAGCACATTGTCATAGAGGAAATTTAAGATGCCATTTTCATAAATAAAGAAATCCAGATGAGACCCACAAAAAATCTATGTGTGGTTTAGATACTGTCTCTAAATACTGCTGCTAAATTTCTATGAGTTTGGATCACATTCTGTAGGCCAAGATGCATATCAATTGGGCACTTTCAAATCTTGCTTGTAGCCAAGGGTGCTTTTGCTTAAACTGAAAGCATTTCTGGTTTTACAAGATAGTGCTCTCATGTTTCTCTATTTTACTGGAGTCCCAGGATCTTTAAAAAGCTATTCTACTTAACAAACCCAATGAAACAGTATGAATAAGATGCAGGGAAACTACATAAATAGAAAATAGGGCTGAAACTGAACCAATTCCTTACATGATTTATTTTTTTCCCCATACAATGTCCAAATGCTTCAGATGCTTCTGATAAGAAAACTGCTCTTCTTTCTCATTTGTTTAGATTTTTTTTTAGTATTTAATCTAGCTCTACATCTTAACATAATACATAATATCCTTTGTGGGATTTAGCAAACCAATTGGTATATGATGCAGTTAATTCTGGAGCCAGTGCACATTATTCAACTTATAATCCTTTGGAGCCATTTAAAATCTGTTCACCATATGTAGCAAATTCATCTTGCATTTACTTCTTGTTTAAGTGGGGGGAAATGTGATTCTTGAGGTATATAATAATTTGACTTGTGATCCCAAACTGTGCAAGTGTGTAATATATGTGTGTGTGTGTGTTTTCTGAGGTTTTCGCGGATGTTTGTATGTAGGTCTTTGGTTATTCGGGTTTTCTCCTGCATAAAATTGGAAGTGTCTTGGCAACGTTTCTATGAAGTCCCATTTGTCATCTTCAGGCTGGTCCCATTCGTCATCTTCGGGCTGGTGTTTTCAGCTTTGTGCTTCGAGGAGCATTGCTCCTCGAAGCACAAAGCTGAAAACACCAGCCTGAAGATGACGAATAGGACTTCATCGAAACATTGCCAAGACACTTCCAATTTTATGCGGGAGAAAACCCGAATAACCAAAGACATATATTAGTAATTTTCAATAACTTTCCTCAGTAATTCTTAATCATGAACCTCAAGACAAAAACAAATAAAAAATTCTTAGACATTTATTCATTTATTTATTTGGGTGTATATCTTGCTCCAATCTATTAGGACTCCAATCAGTTTACATTCCCTGAATTAACTAAATAATATTAAAAATAAACAGAACTATAATAGAAAAAAACAATAGTAAAGGAATCATCAAAAAGATTATGGTCACTAAACTTCCAAGCACAACTGAAGAGGGTTACTAACTTATAACAAAATCCCTCCTAAATTTTGACAGCTGTCCTAAAACACAAGAGGGTAGAGATTAGTTTGATCTCAGGAAAGAAATCATAAACTATTTCAGGGAAGTACAACTGTAATTGAAAAGACTTACCAGTAACTTGGTAGGCTCTGTAGATGACATCATGTAAATGCAGACTTTAAAAGATGGGATTAGCCATCCAGCCTGAGTCATGGAAGGCTGTGAAGATGACAACCAGTACTTTCAGCAGACTAGCAATCAGTGAAACATTTGAAATAGTTATGCTATATGGAAGCACTGCCACCTCATCACTAATCAAACAGCTGTATTCCAGATCAGTTGCAGCCAGACAATCTTCAAGATCAACCCTATGGAATACAAATTATAATAATTCAAATGGATGCACAATGGTCAGAAGGACCTTTTATTCCAGGAACAGTCAAAACATTTTCTTTATTTTAAAGTATTCCATTTGTGTTTACACAGAGAGAGATTTTATGTTTCTTCTTCCTCTTTTCACATTTATAGTCCACTCAGAAATTAGAATTTGACTGACCCAGGCTTAAGTCTCTTACCTTAATCACTTAATCAGTGTTAGTAGGTTTCTTAACAAAATTGCTTTGTGGGTCTTCTTTCAGTAGGATCAAAATGTGGGGGAATCTGAAATCTTTTCAGTTTCCCCAACTTATTCCAGGCTTGATCATCCCTCTTATGGATCTATTTATTTTTCTAGAAGATTTAATAATTTAATTTAATAAAATCTACCATGACAAGCAATTAGGTTCACAATGGCTAGTGGATCAGCTATCTAAAGGGACATCAATTTTCTCCAATAATTCTATAATGCAATTTAAGTTATGCATGAAACTAAAATGTTATATAAACATTTTATGTAAACACCCACACACCACAGATTTATTGTTCTATATAAACCACATCAATATTGAAATGTTAAATGCTGATCCATCCTTTAATTGAATAAATATATAACATATACTGTAATTTTACCATTTTATCTCTAATCTGGTGAACTTTCCTGTGTCAGAATCAAGAACCTCCTCCAAATGTTATGTTATGAATGATATTTTCACAATATCTTTCCATCTCCCCATATCTGGGAGAAGGTTATAAAAATGTTTCCATTTCTGCTGAGCTTTAAATAAGATAGAACTTCTTAAGAGTTTAGTGACAACAAATAAGTTATATCACTGGCTTAGATAATTAGATAAGTCTCAGAAAAAGGAGAGGAACAGAAATATTGATTCTCTATTAATTAATAAGTAGATATCTGGAAACTTTTATCAAATGTAAAAGTGATTAATGTACATAACATTTACCAGCTGCAGTGGATGAAACTCAAATAATCACTTACTGTCAGAATCCAATCATATTTCATCTTTAATTATCAAATATAGAAACGCCCAATTCTGCCTTCTTTGGATTCTGCCATAAGAGGGAGAGAAGGGGGAGAACAAAGGGGCTTTATGGCCCTCACTTCCTTCAGTAGACTTCAAAGAGCTGAATGCTGAATGTGTGTTTATTGGAACCTATTGTAACCTCAAAGCGTTAACACCAGAGAACATTAGCATTAACAAAGAAGAGTATTTGCCTTTCATGTAGTTATCTGAAGTCTCCATCCAGACGGAAGAAAGAAGAAACGGGGTGGAATTGTGATACTTGAAACTATCACTGGGAAGGGGGGTGGATTGGGTGGGACTACTGGGGAACCCCTTAAAACCTTGAATGGGAGAGCTTGGACCCCAAGTCCTGTCTAGCATGCCTGCAACCATTTTCTCTTAATAAAGGATTCCTGTTGGAAGAACTATTCCAAGAGTTCTGTCTTCTTAAGATGCAAAGTGGGGTGGGTCCTTACATTAGATAGGACTTGCAAAATTAATCCACCTGGAAGGTAGACCCTTGCCGGGGGATTTTGCAAAAATTTACCATGTCAGACAACGAAGCAAGAGAGGGAGAAAACTCCCTGGAAAGAGAGCCGCTGACCCAGTTGGAACCTTGCCAGATGTTGGGATCCGAGAGGCCAGATTTCTCAGAAGAAGAAGTGAAGGGAAAAAAATGCCTATTGAGGGGTTTGTTTTTTTGGTACTTATAGAATACTGTATACTTTTCAGTTAGGAGCCAGCCAATATATTTTTTCCCCCTCAAGATTGATATTATTTCCGTTGTGCACTTTGATGGAAACACAACCAATTACACACATTCACAGACATACATATCCCATGTAATATAAACTCTGGCTGTAAACTAAGCTTAGGGAAAAGTCAACATGTTCTGCTTCTTCAAAAGAAGGAACTCCCCTCTGCTAAACTGCACAGCTATTAAGAACTTTAAAAATGCAAAGTACACATGGTAGAAATAGAAATGAGCAGTCTAATGGCTTGTAATGTAATCAGCAAATTTTTAAGTATTATTTTGAAGTTTTTGAAAAGATATTTTTTGAACTATGCATTCCAGGGATGATATTGTTGCTAATCATAATAAAACCTCTGCATAACACAGATTGCAAATAATGTGTCTCAAGAGAAATATTAATCAGAACCTATTTGGCTCCTAATTGAATTGAATGTTCATGTGAACCAAATAAAAGTTTTGGAAAAGCTTGTGGGCATTGCAATCTACTATATTATAAGTCTATGCATAAATTCCAAGCAATGTTATTTTCAGATCCCCGAAGGAGTTTTCAACTGTATCTTCCTTTTCTTTCTTATTTTTTGAATTGAACCAAGGATTATTTTTAAGAAAAAAAAATCTATAGTATCCATTGAGCAGCATCATAATTGTAAGGGTTTTTTTTTCTGAAGCATTTGCTCTATTATTCCCCTTGACTAAATTGGCACCATATACTCTACATTTTCACCTTTTTTTCTATGGATTATATTTTACATTGACAGGCCTCTGCTTCTTCAAACACCTATTCATTAGTTGGGTTTTCTTATGGATATAAAAATGGAGGTAAGAAAAGAAAAAAGAGAAACAAGAAAAACAATTCTATCAACAACCTGCAAGAAAGATAAAAGCTGTAATTTTTGCTTCTGTAGGGGTCAATGAAAGAGTATAAGATGGAGTTCAGTAGCCATATACAACAGTGACACAGTATGAGCTGACTTTTCAACAAATCTAGAGGAAAAAACAGAGGAAAAGAGAAATTCACAAAAAGTGAGAAGTAGAAAGATAAACATTTAAGCTAAAATAATTAGCTGAGTGATCTATGAGAAAGCGTAAAGATTTCCACAATCCTCTTGATGGAGCAGGACTCAGCACGGAGCAGATGGACTTGTACAAAGAAACTCCTTGCTGGTTACAAAGAATAGCCCTTATGGAGGCCGTGGAATAGCTACACACTGGGAAGTCAGGAAAGGTCAAGCTTTCAAGACTGCAGGCTAAGTGAAGTACCACATGATAAGACTGTATTTGGGGCATGGGGAAAGGAGAGTGGAGAGAAGAATGTGTTAGTATTTTGCAAAAGAAAACTGGGGAAAAAAGCAACATTTTGGTTTGCTTCACATGCAAACAAAAGGCATTTGTATCCAGATTTTCTTCTACAACCCGTGCAAAGATTTGATCATCAGCTATATATCTGGAGTACAGTGAAATCAGAAAAGGAGTGTGGCTGTGCAAAATGGGGTGAAACCTAGAGAGGTTCACCATGACTTGAGGCAATGAAAAACCTACATGAGGGTATCTTAGGATACTTATTAAGCCATAAGTGAGATATTCATCAACTGTGAGCTAAAACTTTCAGTGCAACGTATCTTGCTGAACTGCTCTTCCCTCCAGGACATATATAATACAAAGGCATTTCCTTTCTCTTCTCCAAAATAATAATAATAAAAAAGCTTATGGCACCAGCATTTTTTTTTTCTTTAGCCTACATTCAAGCATAGTTGTCATCCAAATTTGAATGTGATCAAAATAATTGGAAACAAAGGACCCAAACAATGTGGGCATACAAATCTGCATAATAACAAAAGACAGACAAAAACAATGCTAATGAAGGAGAATATTTGTAGCTCAGGATTGAAATGAGGGGTACTTGGTGCTCTCTGAGTTTGCTTGTTTTCTTGCAGATGTTTCATTACCCTAACTAGGTAACATCATCAGTGCTAGTAAGGAGTGCTGTTTGCTGTCAGTTTATATTCTAGTGTCTTGCCTGTTTGGGTGGGTGGGAGCAGTCTTAGGGATTCTTTGGTTGAGCTGTTTACTCATGGTTCTTTGGCAGTTTCTTGACTGAGGTTGCTTACTTGATTGTTGGTCTGAAGGTGACCTTGAGTTAATCTATGCTGATCTGAGTGCTGATTATTGGTGGAGAGGTGCCAGTCTTTTTCTCTTTTGGGCTATTGACTGTCTCTTTTGCATAATCTATAGATGTTGTTAATGTCTATGTGTCTATTGATGGCTGATTTGTCGGAGTGCCAGGCTTCTAGAAATTCCCTGGCATTTTGGGATTTGCTCCCAAAAGATGCAATTACTTGTAAGCACTGAATTGGGGACTGGCAGTTTGAAAGAAAGAAAGCAACAGTAGCAGCATTTTTTCCCTGCTTAAGAATCTAAAAATATCAGTTACTCCTGACAACCTACACAGTACTAAAAGCATTATTCCTAGGAGTGGGCAGGTGGGAAGGAAGTTGGATAGTAGAATGACTGAAACACTTCTCCTCCCATCTATAGCCATCCTGCACATATAGATAAATATTGTGTAAATTATTTCTAAATTACTAATCTTTTTAAGTCAGGAAACATTAGTGTTCTTAATTTTAATTATTACATTTTGTAAATTTTCATTAAGACAGATAAGCTTTAGATGTGTAGCTTCCGGTCCTGTTTACAAAACTACAACTAACTCTGTCAGATGAGTGTATATATAGATATATATCTGTCAGATGCGTGTATATATAGATATATAGATATAGATGAGAGAGAGAGAGAGAGATGGATATGGATATTCAAAATTTTGTGGCTGACAAAGAGTTAGTGGGAGACTAGTATAGCTGTTTCAGGCTCATTAGCCCTCATCAGCTAGTCACACCCTTCAGGGATTTGAACCAGGGCAGCTTGCATGTTAGGCAGCTGTATTACCCTTTTGAGCCACAGGTTTCCCCTGACTCCTGTCAGCAGAAACCAGGGAGGATATATATCAAAATTTTAAATTTATAGTGTTTTGCAGGCAGACCATCAGATAGATAGATAGATAGATAGATAGATAGATAGATAGATAGATAGATAGATAGATAGATAGATAGATAGAACCATGCAATATTTTGCAAATATAGGTAGGTAGGT